TTTTTTTATAGAACCTAAATTGTTATTTCAATGATGATGCACTTAAGGCTAAAACGCAATAAGTGAATCGTTAACAAGAAATATAAATTTGAAACAACGTGCGAATTAAAAATTAAATAGTCACCGATGAAATTTATTTCATGGATAATTCAACGCGACTATCTTTAGCACTTAGCAACCGAAAGTGTAGTTGCAATTCTAATGTGAGTTATGTTCTTTATTTAAAACGAGGACTGCTTTGAATGAATCGTAATGTTAAATGCAATCAAAATGCTGGTTTACCGGTAGTGATTTATAAGTATGACATTATATATTCATTTTTTATTATCGCAGTAATGGGTGTGAACGGTTACATTATGAAACAAAAATTCACTGCTGGTTAACGCTTGATAATACAAATATACCTGCATAACTCAAACAATAAAATATATTCCTTCGGTTGTAGTCCGAAGTAAAAAATTCCAGTTGAGTAAAAAATTATTTTATCACAATGTGGACGTGTAAAGGACATATGAAGGTCATTAATGTTGTTTTAAATGGAATCATATATTTTTTATTGCATCAGATGATATTCCTTCATATTCTTTACAAAAAAGTATTAATCTATTTATGTGAAAAAATCATTAGTTTAGGAGATATTTTAATTCTAACTTGTTAGGAAATCATGACTTTCTGATCAATGTAAAAGACTGAGTACATGTGTAAAACATATGAATAGTACGGAATATGTGAAATAAAAAATATAACTCATATTTGGAATAATATATTATGTCAAGAATATTAGTGATGATAGCGAAATATTAGTAAAAGCAAGTATTTTTCCAAATTATTCTTTATGTATTTTCTATAAAAACATGCGTTCATATAAAGATGCAGTCTAATGACAAATATATAATATAATAATATGTAAAAATAATAACGTTACGATCAAATAAAAATGTCAAATTCTACGTAAACATCATAACATTCGTTTTCACCATAGCCTGCTCCGTCTAAAAAAATGCTCGACATCAGTTATATTACGTAAATTAACTTTCAAGCAACAAATTTATGGTTAGTCATTCGATAATATTAGATAATTGCTCCGTAATTAAGTTTCCATGAGATGAATTAAACTTGTTAGGTAACTGTAGTGCATGCGGGTTAATAATACTTCTTCCACAGATTTTATGGTTAGTGGTAGTTAAATTTCCAAACCAGATAATTGGTTTGAAAATCAGTGGTATAACTTGATTAAATTCAGAAAATAAATTCAATTAAAGAATGAAAATAAATTATTCATAAAGAATAAAAAAATAAAATTGTGCATTAAGATCAACGTAGGCGTGAAATACGTAAAGATCATAACTCATAAAAATTCATTTTACGAACGAATTAATGCTTTCATTCGAAACGAATGCTTCGGAAGAATTATTGAAGAATCGATCCCGAGAGTTTAAAAATATCTTGTCCAAGTCGAAGCACTCTATCCTGTCATCTTGTACAATTGGTCACACCCCTAGAATGAGTAGATCCGTCGATAAATCAGCAGACCGATTCTATCTTCGCAGCAAGATGTTCGGAGGGAAGTTAAACAGAGCTCCATAAAAAGATGGCCGCGATAGAGGGAACACACGATAAATCCCGGTGAACTCGAGGCAGAATATTTCATTCGCGTAACGCTTCACGTTAACAACTCATCGAGCGGTATTACGTGCGCCATTCAAGATTGCTAGTGCCAATAACCTTGCAGCTTGATCTATGCTCGCTTCTTGGGGGAATCCATCGCAGAAAACGCGCGTACCATGAAGTAAGCCCGTTTATTGTCGCCTATAGAGCAACAGCGAGGTGTGTACCCGCTTACCCGTAGCCCAACAATGAAACCTCGAGAAAAATGGTCCTTGTCCGAGGAGGCAAACCCGATGGGTTTCTTCGCGCGCCGCTTAACGACGATTTCGATCGTTTACGACTTTAATAATTTAGGCGCGGTCCGGCTCGCGAAGCTCGACACGTTTTCGGTCGTAAACCGCGCGACTAAATCCGTATTTATGGGGAAGAAGAGGTAGACCGAGGTAACCGAGGCTCTGTCTCCTTCATCCTTCGAGTCTTTCCTCCTCGTTCCCTATCTTACACTCCTATACAGCTTTATCTCTTTCTGTTTTCGATTCTCTATTTCTCCGCGTGACATGGCCGGTTCGACACCGCATCTCGCGGGACATCGATCCGATTCCAGAATTTTTCTTCATCCTGGATCTTCTTATGTGTAGCCATTCCAGATTAGATCCGCCATTTTAGATTATTTTTTTATCGATGCGCAATTTTCAGTTTTGTTTAATGGAGATCTTGTACAGTGTATTGTTCGGTATTTAAATTGCAATGTTTGGGAACTTTTACAAATTATGGTTGATATAATAAATGGAGAGTTTGAGATTTTTAGACTTTAGATTTTCTGGTTGCGTTCCCTAATTTCTAAGTTAAGAATGTTTAAATTCGGTAACTTTTGCGGGAGAAAGTACGGAATATTACAGGTAAAGTTCCTGTATTTTTAAATATTTCGATTGTGAAATGTTGAATTTTTATGATTTGAAACCTATAACTTCTAAATTACGCCTTCAAATTTTCTAATTCTAAACTTTTCAAATTTTCAAATTCTTAAACTCAACTTTCAAACTTCCCGATTCGAAAAGTTTTCAAGGCCTTTACAAGTTTTCAAATTCCCAAGTATTCAATTTCCCAAATTTTTAATTCTTAAATGTATAGATTTCCAGAATCCCAAAGAAAAAATTTCCGAATGTTCAAATTTTTTAATCTCCGAATTTTTAAATTCCAAAATTCTAAAATTTCTACATTCCTACATTCCTAAATACCTAAACTTTTAAATTCCAAGATTCAAAAATCCCAAGATTCCAAGATTCCAAGATTCCAAGATTCCAAGATTCCAAGATTCCAAGATTCCAAGATTCCAAGATTCCAAGATTCCAAGATTCCAAGATTCCAAGATTCCAAGATTCCAAGATTCCAAGATTCCAAGATTCCAAGATTCCAAGATTCCAAGATTCCAAGATTCCAAGATTCCAAGATTCCAAGATTCCAAGATTCCAAGATTCCAAGATTCCAAGATTCCAAGATTCCAAGATTCCAAGATTCCAAGATTCCAAGATTCCAAGATTCCAAGATTCCAAGATTCCAAGATTCCAAGATTCCAAGATTCCAAGATTCCAAGATTCCAAGATTCCAAGATTCCAAGATTCCAAGATTCCAAGATTCCAAGATTCCAAGATTCCAAGATTCCAAGATTCCAAGATTCCAAGATTCCAAGATTCCAAGATTCCAAGATTCCAAGATTCCAAAATTCCAAGATTCCAAAATTCCAAGATTCAAAAATTCTAAGATTCAAAAATTCTAAGATTCCAAGATTTTAAGATTCTAACATTCCAAGATTCCTACATTCCTCAATTCCTACATTCCTACATTCCCAAATTTCCAAATTTTTCCATCTTGAATTTGTAAATTGAACATCAATGAATGCTATGAATCTGATATGATCGATATATTAATATTGTTAATAAATATTGCAAAAATATGTTGATTATTCGAAGTCTTCATAATTCATAAATTACTAAAACGATTATAAATGCGGTTGCTATAATAGCGATTTTATTTTCCCTATTCATTCATCTTTCCTATCAAAATGATCGACATTGAACATGGAAGAATATTATTTCTGATTAATGCATTGGAAGTGTTAATCAATTCAGAATATTCTTAGCAGATTTAAACACAGTGTTGTTGCAATTATTATTGTTAATTTGCTGAGCGAGCAAGATTACGTTCAACGTAGACATTTAAGGACTAATTTTACATTTTGACAGACAGCTTTCGAATGAATTTTAATATTCAAAATACTTTATTTCTAGTGGGAAAATCATCCAATGTAATTACAATAAAATGCGATTACATAAAAGTTACTAAGTTTATGGAACCCGTAAAAATGATAAATCTTCTTCAATGATAAATTGACTTCTTATTTTCAATTACGAAAATAATTAAGAATCTTTTGATAAAATGTATGTAAACCTTTATTGAGATAAAGAATGACTGTACAAGATTATTTCGTTATTATTCATTATTTATTTGTTTTTATAGTTTAGTCTGAATTTAAACGTCCATAAATCTCGGGTTAAAAACAATGGCGTCCTAAAAGAAAGTTCAGCCAAAACTGTATTCTGTGCGTATTTTCACATACTCTGATGCAATATTTTTTGACTGAATCAAAGCAATTTAACACTATTTCTACCAAGAGGTGTCACCTTTCAAATTTTAGCTTAAATTATTGTCTAAGTTGAATCATTTCTCCATAATTCATTTTCTGACTATTCATACGATAGTTGTTAAATTTATTCAGCGATGTCAATTTCGTACAGCACATTATAGATTTGAAAACGTGCATATGGTGTACTTATTTCTACCATGAGGTGTCTTTTGACTTGTTAAGAATTTTATGACAGTGCCTAATTTTAAACCGTGCTTAATTTTGTAGCATCATATCAATTATAATCAGATTGAAGAATCCTGATTTTAGTTGCAACGGAAAATACAGGAGTTGCGGCATAACTTTAATGTTCGCTTATTTCCCGCCATGTTTCATTTTAGTGTACACCGCCAAATTAATATTTTATAGATTGATGAATTAGGCTGGAATTTACAACCTGATAATCTTTAATAAAAAGACTTTAATGTATCAATAATATTCCTCAAATTATCTACATTTGTTAATTTGAAATCACAAGTTGCAATTATTCGCATTCAAACGAAACTTCAAAAAAAACTTCAAACGAAACATCAAAAGACACTTTTTGATCGAAATAGATATACACAAAATCATGGTAAAAATATTGCATACTTTATAAGATTTCTCACTTATTGTCACTATAGATTGTAATAATGCACGCTTATAAGGATCCTCTAGGCCGGGTCACGAGACATTTTGTACGCTCTTTATATTCATGTTCACCACTTACCAAGGACGCAGATAGCAGAACTCATCTATGCTCCTTCCGCTCCCGTATTCCCTGCAACAGAAAAAGATGTAGACGATGAGTACACACGCGCGCATAAGCATACACGAATAAAATATAATAAATGCCTGCGTACGAACGTTAATATTCGCAGTGCAGGTGTGAATTCAGCAGCTGGATTATGATAAAAATTTGCGATTCCATCATTACTTGTTGGAATGCTGATCCTCATCCAATTTGTTCTACTTGTCGCATACATTCTATGTAAGGAGCTCGTACTTTCGATAAAATTATGTTTAATCGCGCGACTGACATTTTATCTTCGACTCTTTTCTAAGTAATCCTATACCAGTAACCAGACTTCGAAAATGCGGAGAAATAAATAAGAACGAGATCGTATTTGATAGTAAACACTTTTTTCTTAAATTTACATAATTTTATCTGGATGAACCGATCTTTAAGCGGACTACATACTTTATCACATTACTTGCGGTTCAGTCACTTCGCTATGTTGATAAAAAATAACTATAATTTTCAAGGTTTATTAATATTTTTTAATTTTTATTTTTAAGTACTTGTCTTACAATATTGTGTACACGTGACGTATGGTACAGCTGGAATATGATTAACCAGACTCGTATTTTCACTGCAATTAAATTTATTTCTTTATTAAATTTCTTATACAAAAATTGATTAAACAGAAAGTAGAAAGAAAATGAACTTCGGTTATCCTGATCCTTATTTACAGAATTGCTCTGCGATTGTACTGTAATATTTCCCATAACGATGTAACATAACCTCACTTAAAATCGAAATTCCTCAGAATAGTGAAAAAATTTTACCATCAGTTCCTTAATTGTTTAAAAATTCACAAAACAGAGGAACAGTTCCACAACAATAAGAAGGAACGCTACGCCTTAATCGGCATAAATTTCGAATCGAAAAGCAGCAAAGACAAAAGAATACCAAGAACCGAACGAAGGAAATAAACGAAATCGAATGGAAGTGTGACCGCTGGCGTGGAGGTACAATTAAAACGACATTAATTAATTGCTAGTCCAACAATACATCTGGTAGGGACATAGGTAAGAGAGGGCAACCGGGCCTCGGGGCCTTCATAAATTTACATGTCTTTCGCCGCGAGAATCATTTTTTACAGCCGTTAGGAGAGTGTCCGCGGTTGGTGTGCGTGCGGAGAGAAGCCGTAGACCTACAGCAAAGCATGAGCTATACAGGGTGTCTCACAACTCGTGTAGGTCCCTGAAATGGGGGGTAGCTGACGTGATTCTAAGCAAGATTTCCCTTTGCAAAAATCGGGTTTGAAGCGTCGTTTTCGAGTTATTAACGAAAAACACGGACCAATCAGAGCGCCGGGATTACGCGCGCCGAGAAGCGAGAGCCGGTCGCCGGAGTGCGAGCGCGATCAACTGAATTTTCCTCGGAACTGTCTTAACGTCTAATACGAAGTCTTTACATCGAAACTCAGTTAAATAACGAACAGAATAATTAAAAGTAATGTTCATTTATTCATTCCTCATGAAGGAG